GCAATAAAGCAGTTGGTGATGACAAAATCGTTACTGAGGCAGTTAAAGCAGGAGGAAAGACAGTATTGAAAGTATTGATACAATTATATAACTTATGCCTTTCAAAAGAAGTTACAACATCTCAGTGGAATAAAGCTGTTATTGTAGTCATGCACAAAAAGGGAGATATAACAGAGCTAAAGAACTATAGACCGATTAGCTTGTTATCTTACGGTTATAAGTTGTGTATGAAGACAATAACTAATAGGTTGACATCAAAACTAGACTTCTATCAACCTTGCGAGCAAGCAGGAATAGAGCTGGATACGGAATAAATGATCATTTGCAAACCGTTAAGTCGTTAATTGAAAAAACCATTAAATAGAATAGACTCCTGATACTTGTCTTTATCGACTTTGAAAAAACATTTGATACGGTCAATCAAAGTGAAGCGCTCTAAGCTCTAACACAATGTAGAATAGATCACCGATACATATCCCTCATCAGATACATATATCAGCATGCTACAGCCTGTGTAAGACTTAATGAAGATACTGGGACCTTTCGTATTGAAACAGGCGTTCGGCAATGAGACAACATGTCTCCTAAATTATTTAGAACTTTGCTAGAATACGCTTGTAAAATAATAGATTGGAACAAAAAGGGCATCAATGTAGATGGAAAATTTTCAAATAACCTTAAATTTGCAGACGATATCTGCAGATTCTTATTGCAGAAAGCTTTGATCAGGCACAGATAATGCTCCAAGAACTTCATACTGCCACAAAAAGAGTTGGTAATAAAATCAGTTTTTCAAAAATACAATTTATGACAAATTTAGTCACAACAAAAACATCTCAGTCGAAGACCAAGGTATGGAGCCAGTTGACTCCTATACATACTTATCCCATAAGATCAGAATAAGTCGAGACAACCAAACAATCGAGCTCAAAAGAAGAATAAACCTCGCTTCGGCTGCATTTGGAAAGATGAAGGATATTTTCAGGTCTAAGATTCCAATGTGTCTGAAAAGGAAAGTATTTAATCAGTGTATTTTGCCAGTGATGACCTACGGCGTAGAAACCCTAACACTCACAAGAACAACAGTGGGTCAACTATAAGTTACGGAAAGTGAGAACAATAAATCTAAAAGAGAGTTCATTGAAATGTCTTATATTTTCCTTAACGATTTTTCCATCAATGTTAAGACTGACATTAAGAATCTAAGCGATATATACCACTTCTTACTTAAATCAGATACCAAGAACAATACAACATTACAGATAACTAACTTGACTGATATATCTATTAACAACTAACCTACTTTAATAATAATTTTCATTAACAAAAAAAGATAACATTCCCTTGCTTTTCTTAGATACATCTCAATAAGATATTATTATAATAATACATGAACAATATACTAATAAAAAAAAAGAATTTCAATTAAGAAAATTCTAAACTAATATCTCCCCAGACTGGGATCTAACTTCATCGGTTTTACCAATGAACCTTAACGACATAGATATCAAAAGTATACTTGTAATTGTTTCGGCGCTTGCGTTCTATAAAAACAGAAGCTTACATTCAAACTTTACAACAATTAAAAATTTAGTTATTGCCGACAATTCAAAGAATTACTTCTTTTAAAAAAATGTAGTTACATTGGGTTTTTCGATTATCCTTGGGTAAACCTTTGCGTTTAAGTTCAAAGCTACCATACATTTCCAACGTTAACAAATAAACTTTTTTGCATATAGTAACAAAAAAACACCACTATGCTGTTACTAGCTAAAGTTTTTTAACATCATAACTCGACATTTCTAAAATTTTACGGTAAGGTAAATGTTTTTTAATAGATAATATATGGTAGCTAATTATAATTTATTCTCTTTCAGCCCTGAAGAAGCCAAATTAATTCTCTTTGGCGAAAACGTTAGGTGAAATAATTGATACACATTAGAGTTTTTTTTTGCAGATTTCCCCAATATTTAAGAGCTTACTATATATATATATATATATATATATATATATATATATATATATATATATATATATATATATATATATATATATAATATGACTCAAAAGACTAGAAACTTAGTAATCCTAAGATATAACGAAAATTTGAGGCTCATTTAAGAATAGAAATTTCATAAACTATTTTATATTCTATAGATTCATATGTAATGATAGCCTACGTTGAATACCAAAAATGCAATGAAAGAGTTGAACACATGGCATAGAAATCTGATTTATTCATATGACTAAGCAAAATTTTATAGTGTACACACAAACAAATTTAGGATAACGATAAGGTATATCAATCAGAGATTGGATTCTCAATCTTTAATAAGAAAAGCCAGGGACAGAAATGATTTTGCTGAGGTTATCGCCAACCTTCATTGAAGACGGCACCCAAAGAAGAGATAAGGTATATGTCCGAGATTGAACACTGGGGGATATAGACAGAACTCTCTAAGATAGTTTGGTTAGATATGAAGCTTAAATTATTAATTGGGAAGAAAAGCTTATTATGACATTTTGTGGTATAGATTTCCTTACTTACGAAATCGATGTACCTCTCTAAGGCAAATTGTGCCTGCTTATTTTCTTTTGTTGTATTGTACCATCTTAATTTTTTGCTTGCATGCTCCAAATTTACGACCCCAGTACTATTATAGTGAATCTATTATGAATTTTTCTCGCAAAATATCCCATCCGTTAGTTTACGGATTTGATTCTGTAGATTATATCCATTACTGATCCAACCGATGTATAATACATCAAAAACATTTCTTTGATGATCGTGCATTTGCTTATCAACCTAGTGGTCTTCTGGACACAGAAGCATATCAACAAATGAAATTTAATTTAAACTAAATGTAATTAATTATTTGTTAACGGGTTGTTACCCATATATTTAGTGGCTACATTCATGTACACTTAGACACTGATGATGGAATATGGATTCCGAAAACGTTTTGTCTTTTTAACTTAGCCCGTTTGGGCTCTAAATATATACCTTTTACAAAGGATTTTTAATAAATTTTTTAATTTGTGGTATACAGCCAACTACAGGAACGTAGCTTCCTTGTGGATTTTTAATGAAATTCAAATTAAAAAGGAGTTAGACAAGGATGTGTGCTATCACTAATGCTATTTAATCTATATTCGGAAGAAATCATGAAGAAAGCATTGGAGGAAGAAGAGATTGGGATAAAAGTTAACGGCCAATCAATTAATAATATAAGATACGTAGATGATACGGTTTTAATGGCTGAGACAGTTGAAGACCTGCAAGCCATTTTAAACAAGGTAGTTATAGTTAGTGAAGAAAAAGAGTTAATAATGAATGTCAAGAATTCATGATTATTTCAAAAAAGCAAAGATTGAATGCAAACCTGTACATTCACAATAACGAAATCAAACGCGTGCACAAATATAAATATTTAGGAACAATTGTTAATAACAAAAATGATATCACAGAAGAAATAAAAACTAGAATTGGAAAGGCTCGAGCTGCTTTTGTTAATATGAAGGACATTCTGGGAATTCATGACATTAACTTAAACCTAAAAATGAGATTGGTTAGATGCTACATCTTTTCGATACTGCTGTACGGAGTAGAGACTTGGTCTTTAAACAAGAACAAAACCGATAAACTAGAGGCATTTGAAATGTAGATACATAGAAGAATTTTTAAAATACCTTGGACAGACAAAATAACAAATAGAGTAGTTCTTCGAAGAATGAACAAAGAACGGGAGCTGTTGATCACCATCAAAAGAAGAATGTTGGAATACCTTGGTCATGCGATGAAAAGGAAAAAGTAAATTGCTCCACTTAATTATCCAAGGAAAGATTCAGAGGAAACGTGGGGAAACGACGTATATCTTGGCTGCGCAATTTAAGAGACTGGTTCTAGTGCACATATAACCAATTATTTAAAGCAACAGCTTCAAAGATATGAATAGCAATGATGATTGCCAAACTCCATAGCGGAGAGGGCACTTGAAGAAGAAAAAGATTTAAATGGTAAAAGAAGTATAAGATTATATAAATGTAATCAAAACTTATTTCACGTACCTATTTTTATTTTTGTTTTTGTTTTGTTTTTCTCTGCTGCATCTTTGCGTATCTAACTTCATTACTAGCTGCATGTAGGTGACAAAATTACTACCTAGATAAAAAAATGTCTGTGAATATAGCTTAGATGATTAAGCTATCTTACATCAGTGCTTTTGTACTAGGTGTCGAATTACTTTATGATATCTTCTTTGGTTGCGGTAAAGACCTGGGTGAATATTGTGTAGTCTTTCTAAAGGCTTGGGTAAGGAGAAGTTTATGGGTAAATCACTTTAGCCTTTGTAAATATCTTTAAAAAAAAACTAATAAAATTATACTAGAATCGATCCATCTTCACACTTCCCGACGGACAATACCAATAATATGGGTGCCTTCTCATATCGGCATTCAAGGAAATGAGATGGCTAAAAGCGCTGCAAAAGAAGCATTTACATCTAACTTAGCTGCCTATGACACACAGCTCCAAGAAAATATAAAATTAAAATACAAAAGGAATATCCAAGACAAGTGGCAGGAACTTTGGATCACCAAAGACACAAAGCTTAGACAAATACAACCTAATATTAATAGCTATTTATCCCTAGCATCTCTAAACAGAAAAGAGAAGATAGCAATACAAAGATTAAGAATAGAATACACACGTAAGGCACACGGTCATCTTATGTCCTCTACAGACCAACAGTTATTCTCCTACTGCAACGATATACCTATTATTGTCAAGCACATCCTCACATACTGTCAACACTACCAGGCCCCTCGCATTGTCAACAATAGAACTCACAGTTTAAAAGAACTATCTATGTATCTATCTTTCCATCTATCTATTTATTTATCTTCTATTAATGTATCTATATCTTCTTAAATCAAAAATTTTTTTGCCTGGGCCTAAGACTGTTTTTACATTTCGGATGGGAATTAAAAAAAAACATATTTACTATTTTAATTTTATTTCATAAACAAATCGATTAAACTAGTATAAACAAAATTCATTTGTAACCTATTCAAAATTCGCAGTTGCTCTCATTCTTCGTCGCTCAAGAAGTGATCCAGTTTTAAGAAGGTCTCTAACGTCTTGTCCCGTTCTATGTCTTCGTAAGGTTGCCTCTGTAGAACGTTCAATTCTCTCGAGATAAAGAGCATGAAAGTACCTGAATACATCAGCTTTGGAATCCATAAGGGATAGAATATATTTTTTATGCACATAATATATTTCGGTAGGCTCCAACGTCATGACGTAAATAGGAAAGTCAACTTGACTTTGGTCGTCTAAGAAAAGTGACTGCAGACCAAATACATCACCATCCTGGAGGTGGTAGGCCTCAGTCTCACCAACGAAAGCCGCTACGGTACCAGAAAGTATAAAAAATACGTTATTGGAAGATTGATAGTTGCCTAATAGAACCTCGTTAGAACTGTACACAGTCGACTTCATCCGAGCGAAGAGAGATCCTAATTCTTGAGATGTAAGAAGTTTTAAAAAACTATTCATACTTATTAGTTTCTTAGATCCAAAAAGAAATAATTCTGTTCTTAAATGACTCGTTAGTACTTTTATCATTTGCTGGGTATTGAAAAATTTTTTTTGGTAATTATACTCAAACTTTTCTCCAATTTGATTTTGAAGGAATAAAGGAACATCCAGTGAATTCATGAAACTGTGCAACTGAATCAACATATTTTCGTATTCTATCTCTGCTCTGTCGCTTACTCCAAACTTTGCTAAAATCCTTCCAATGATAACCAAAAAGTATGCTCTACCGCAAAATGTAAAAATGAACATCATCACTTGCTCACAAGGCTGTTTTATAACATCGTAGTGGTAAGATCCGACAAAATAACAAATTACTAAAAGAAAACTTTCCATATAGGTATCCACAGTGTATTTCTCAAAACTCTGATTTCGTAAAATGACCCAAGAATTATTAGGAAAATGCTTATTTTTAAAATATATGTTATAAGGTATATCATATACCAGAAACGTAAAAGTATTCAGAATAAATGTGCAGATCACTAAATGCGTTACTACAAATATTGTCAGCCTTCCACAACCAAAGTTGAGGAAAATGTTAGTAATGGTGGGCATACAACTGATTAAACGAATTAAATAACACATAAAAGCGGTCATATTCATAGGCACAGCAAACACTTGTCTTGTTTCAAGTTTATGGTCTGGCTCTACTTGCAGATACTCTAGCAACATCTGTATTATTTCCTCACTGTTGTCTTCAAAAAGCAGAAATAAGTCAATTAAAAAATAAGTCAGCAAATAATGAGTGACAGTTTGTGAGGTTTTTATAAATATATGCTTGGTTCTTCGATCTACATAGCCAGTAAAAAAGAAGGTGAACATGCAGATTCCATGAAAGCCATCTCTAAGTTTACCTGAGAACTCGTACCAATATGGATTCGCCAGCATAGCCATCGAAAATGTCATTCTGTGCAGTACAGTAAACAGAAACGTAATTTGTACAATCTGACTCAATCGACTAAACGGATGAATGATATACCAATACTTGCCTCTGGAATGTTTTCTTTGTTCTGCTCTTAAGGCTGATCCAGTTTTTAAGAAGTTGCGGCACCTTATATCATTTTCGTTTAACAACAACTGTTTTCTAATAAAATTAATTAATTTATCATGCCATCTTGCAGACGGATGCTGTGGAGCAAATGAGGATATTTTGGTTTGTCTTGTTAGTAAGCACTTGTGAGTCTCTTGCGACATTATTGCTGACAATGTCTGACAAACTATGTAAATGTTAATTTTGGTCTCTATGTGTTTTCGATAATAAAAAGTTACTATAACAACAATATTGTCAGTTAAATGGGTTAATTACCACTTAAATTAAAACAAACCTGGATTCCTTTGACATATTTCAAGTCTCTTATTACTTAGACTTATTAAAATTTTATTAGCAAACCACTGATAATGATAGTGTAGTATTAGCATATTATGTAAATATTTGAGTTTAGCTCGAAAAATTGTTCGAAAAATATTAACTGACATACTGACATTTTGCGTTACTTTTACATTTAGAGGTTTGATTTATTTTTAGTCTAATCTAATTAGCGCAGGTTCTACAATCCAAGCATAATTTAGAGAATAATTATTCTGAGTATAACTTATACTTGTGTTTACTCCTAGTATAACCTTTCGAGCGTTCTACATTGTGAAATAGACAGCAGAATAGTTATTCTGGGTAAAACCACAGAACACTAAGGTAAAACGAAATAGTAGATCCGATGTCCTTAAAATTAGTTCAGATTGTTATTGACAGCTACATTTGGCAGTTATTATAACTGTAAAATTTGTATTGGCGTATTGGCTATTGGATGTGCATGTATATAAAAAATGACACGACATTTTTAAATTGACTAACTTTTAAATCAATAATTTGGGATAATTAACAAACATAAGAATATACAAAAGACATAAAATATACAAAAAAATAAACTTCGATTTTAATATGAATGAATTTGTATAGTAAATTACAATTGATTTAATTTAGAAAAATATATTTAAAATTGAACACGTACAGTTTTTGAACTTTTTAACAAAAATTGAACTTAAATTTTAGTTTCAAGGTTGTGTATGCCGATTTCGAAAAAGCAATCCATACAGCTGTAAGTGAAGTGTTTCCATTTACGAAAATAAAAGGATGTAGGTTTCATCTCAGACAATCATGGTGGAGAACAATTCAAAAAGTCGGTCTGGCTACTGAGTATTCAAACTACAATGAATTCGGACAATACCTAGATATATGTTTGGTCTAGTTTTCCTAGATCCAAGTAGGTGAGTGTTTTGCTTTAGACTTTAGTAGTGAAATATTACCAGTACAATACCAAGCTGTAGAACAATTTGCTGACTACTTGGTGGAGAGCTATATTTCTGAAGAGGCAGACTTCTCTCCTAAGATGTGGCGGAATGGAGTTCATCACTTGAGCGTACAACCAATGCCTGTGAAAGTTTCCATTCTAAACTTAATTCGTTATTTTACAATCCGCACCCTAATATATTTGATTTTTAGAAGTTTCAAAAGATATTCAGATTGACACATTTAAGAATAAGAAGTTCTGTGAAACCAAAAGAAGTGTATCGAAAATTACTTCTAGAACGTCAAATATTTGTTGATCACAAAATAGTGGATTAAAGCAAAATAAAATAAGTAGATTGGTTTTGTCAAATGTATTTCATTTAGATTTCTAGCGAAATAAATGCCTAGTTTTAATTTATATTTGTTTAATTTTGTAATGGTAGAGGATATCCCATATTATGTTAGTTTATACACTTGTATTGCTTTCTTATTATACTTATATTTTAGAATAGGCACATACATTATTTCAGTAATTTTTAGAAACAATTAAAAATATCCAATAGAATTTTTAAATCAATCACTAACATTTTATAAAATATATAAGAGTAATGAGCGCGCTAATGACCGGCAAAATAACGCAAAAGATTGAAAACATATTAAGTTGTGAGATAAATAGAAATGAAACTAGTGGAGATTGAAAATTTAGCGATAGAACCTATAAATTTACATTTCATTTATTGTTTCCCATCTTTAGACGTAAGACTTTGGAAACTACCACTGTGGCAGTGACAGTTTTAGTTGACATCCTCCTCTGATACGTCTAAAGGTATGAAACAGTGAATAGAATGTAAATGTATAGGTATCTATCGCTAAATTTTCCATCTGTACTAGTTTCATCTCTTTTATCTTACAACTTTATATGTTTTCCATCGTTTGCGTTATTTTGCTGGTTATTAGCACGCTTATCACTGTTTTTATATAAATATGTAACTACCAATATTTGATATAATTTCTAATATAAAATACAAAAGCCGCAGTATCTATTTTCCTGGTGTTAATTTTCCTAGAACTTAATAGATAAATACTTAATCCGCTTGACCACGAAAGCGAACTAGGTTATGGTTGTCGGAGCCAACTAGTATGTAATTAAGAGGATTTTTTGACCTTAAGAGGGAACTAGTGTGCTCCGATCTCCACACTTCCCGAGGGACTTCAATAACAATAGTATGGGTGCCTTCTCATATCGGCATTCAAGGAAATGAGATGGCTGACAGCGTTACACAAGAAGCATTTACATCCAAATTACCTGTCTACGACATACAGCTCCAAGAAAACATAAAATCAAAATTCAAAAGGAATATCCAAGACAAGTGGTAGGAACTTTGGATCACCAAAGACACAAAGCTCAGAGAAATACAACCCATGTAATATTAACACCTATTCATTCCTAGCACCTCTAAACAGAAAAGAGAAGCTAGCAATACAAAGATTAAGAATAGATCACACACGTTTGACACACGGTCATCTTATGTCCTCTAAAGACCAACAGTTATACTCCCACTGCAACGATATTCCTATTATTGTCAAGCATATCCTCACAGGATGTCAAAACTACCGGGCCACTCGCATTGCCAACAATAGAACTCACAGTTTAAAAGAACTTTCTATGTATCTATCTTTCCATCTATGTATATCTCTATATATATTTCTATTTATTAATCTATCTATCTATCTATGTATCCATATGATCTATTTAATTATTTTTTCTAAAGACTGAAAATTGTATTTGCTGATCCTTATCCTACCTAGGGTTAATTTAAAAAAATATATTAAGAGCATTTTGTAATAGGGTCTTAACAACCTAAAAATCTCTTTTAAAATCACTTTGTCTTTGGAATTAATAAAAAACATATTTTTGATCAAATCGAAGGTAGATATCAAGCACAGTTTATAAACTAAATCTTGCTCAAGTACCTTCGCTTCCTAGAGCATCTTTAGGGGTATTTCGTCAAGATGCTCTAGAAAGCGAAAGTACTTGGGCAAGATTTAATTAATAAACTGAGCTCGATATCTACCTTTCATTTGATCAAAGTTCATTTATCCGAGCATTCAACCTTATATCAATTAAAAAACATATTTACTATTTTAGTTTTATTTCATAAACAAATCGGTTAAACTAATATAAACAAAATTCATTTGAAACCTAATCAATATTTACAGTTGCCCTCTTTCTTCGCCGTTCAAGAATTGATCCAGTTTTCAGAAGGTCTCTTACGTCTTGTCCCGTTCTTTGTCTTCGTAAGGTTGCGTCTGTTGTAAGTTGAATTCTCTCAAGATAAAGAGCATGAAAGTACCTGAATACATCAGCTTTGGAATCCATAAGGGATATTATATATTTTTTATGCACATAATATATTTCGGTAGGTTCCAACGTCAGGACATAAATGGGAAAGTCAACTTCACTTTGGTTGTCTAAGAAAAGTGAATGCAGACCAAATATATCACCATCCTGGAGATGGAAGGCCTCAGTCTCACCAACGAAAACAGCTACGGTACCAGAAAGGATAAAAAATACGTTATTGGAAGATTGATAGTTGCCTAATAGAATCTCGTTAGAACTGTACACAGTCGACTTCATTCGAGCGAACAGAGATCCTAATTCTTGAGATGTAAGAAGTTTAAAAAAACTATTCATACTTATTAGTTTTTTAGATCCAAAAAGAAATAATTCTGTTCTTAAATGACTCGTAAGTACTTTTATCATTTGCTGGGTATTGAAAAATTTTTTTTGGTAATTATACTCAAACTTTTCTCCAATTTGATTTTGAAGGTATAAAGGAACATCTAGTGAATTCATGAAACTGTGCAACTGAATCAACATATTTTCGTATTCTATCTCTGCTCTGTCGCTCACTCCAAACTTTGCTAGAATCCTTCCAACGATAACCAAAATGTATGCTCTACCGCAAAATGTAAAAATGAACATCATCACTTGCTCACAAGGCTGTTTTATAACATCGTAGTGGTAAGATCCGAAAAAATAACAAATTACCAAAAGAAAACTTTCCATATAGGTATCCACAGTGTACTTCTCAAAGCTCTGATTTCGTAAGATAACCCAAGAATTGTTAGGAAAATGATTATTTTTAAAATATATGTTATAAGGTATATCATATACCAGAAATGTGAAAGTATTCAGAATAAATGTGCAGATCACTAAATGCGTTACTACAAATGTTGTCAGCCTTCCAAAACCAAAGTTGAGGAATATGTTAGTAATGGTGGGCATACAACTGATTAAACGAATTAAATAACAAATAAAAGCGGTCATATTCATAGGCACAGCAAACACTTGTCTTGTTTCAAGTTTATGGTCTGGCTCTACTTGCAGATACTCTAGCAACATCTGTATTATTTCCTCACTGTTGTCTTCAAAAAGCAGAAATAAGTCAATTAAAAAATAAGTCAGCAAATAATGAGTGACAGTTTGTGAGGTTTTTATAAATATATGCTTGGTTCTTCGATCTACATAGCCAGTAAAAAAGAAGGTGAACATGCAGATTCCATGAAAGCCATCTCTAAGTTTACCTGAGAACTCGTACCAATATGGGTTCGCCAGCATAGCAATCGAAAATGTCATTCTGTGCAGTACAGTAAACAGAAACGTAATTTGTACAATCTGACTCAATCGACTAAACGGATGAATGATATACCAATACTTGCCTCTGGAATGTTTTCTTTGTTCAGCTCTTAAAGCTGATCCAGTTTTCAAGAAGTTGCGGCACCTTATATCATTTTCGTTTAAGAGCAACTGTTTTCTAATAAAATTTATTAATTTACCATGCCATCTTGCGGACGGGTGCTGTGGAGCAAATGAGGATATTTTGGTTCGTCTTGTTAGTAAGCACTTGTGAGTCTCTTGCGACATTATTG